TATAAAATAAGAAGAAGAAGACGAATGTAGAATATAGAATGAAAAGAAGAAGATATAAAGGTGAAGCGAAGGCGAATGTAGAATATAGAATGAAAAGAAGAAAATAGAAGAGGGAGGTGAAGGCAAATGTAGAATATAAAATGAAAAGAAGAAGGGGAAGACAAAGGCGAATGTAGAATATAGAATGAGAAAAAAAAGAAAGAAGAAGAAGAAGGTGAAGGCGAATATAGAATAAGAAGAAGAAGGTAGAAGGGAAAGGTGAATGTAGAATATAGAATGAAAAGAAGAAAATAGAAGAGGGAGGCGAAGGCGAATGTAGAATATAAAATGAAAAGAAGAAAATAGAAAGAGGAGGCGGAGGCAAATGTAGAATATAGATTGAAAAGAAAAAAGTAGAAGGGGAAGGTGAAGGCAAATGTAGAATATAGAAAAAAAGAAGGTAAAAGAATGAGACGAAGACGAATATAGAATATAGAATGAGAAAAAGGGAGAAGGGGAAGATAAATGTACAATATAGAATGAAAAGAAGAAGGTAAAAAGGTGAGGCGAAGGCGAATGTAGAATATAGAATGAAAAGAAGAAGGGGGAAGGCAAAGGCGAATGTAGAATATAGAATGAGAAGAAGAAGGTAGAAGGGGAAAGCGAATGTAGAATATAAAATGAAAAGAAGAAGGGGAAGGCAAAGGCGAATGTAGAATATAGAATGAGAAAAAAAAGAAAGAAGGGGAAGGCGAAGGCGAATATAGAATAAGAAGAAGAAAGTAGAAGGGAAAGGTGAATATAGAATATAGAATGAGAAGAAGAAGGTAGAAGGGGAAGGGGAAGGCGAAGGCGAATGTAGAATATAGAATGAGTAGAAAAAGAGAAGGGGAAGGCGGAGGTGAAGATAGAATGAGAAGAAAAAGATAAAAGAAGAAGAAAATAAAAAGAAAAGAAGTCAAAGAAGAAGATGTAGATAGAAAAGAAAGATAAACAGAAAAAGATAGAAAGAGAAAAAAAGAAGAAGAATAAATCAGAGAAGGAGATACAAAGAGAAGAAGAAGAAGATAAAAGATAGAGAAGAAGAAGTTAAAGAAAACAATAAAAGAAGAAAAAAAATCAAAGAAAATGATAGAAAATGGACAAGAAGAAGGAAAGAGAATGTCAAAGAAAACGGAAGAAGGAAAAAGTCGAAAAAACGGTAGAAGAAGAAAAAGAAAAAAGTCAAAGAGAATAAAAGAAGGAAAAGAAGAAATGAAAGGAGAAGATAGAAAGAGAGGAAAAAAAAGAATAAGTCAAAGAAGAAGATGAAAGTATAAGGAAAAGAAAAAGAAATCAAAAAGAAGTTAAAGAAGAAGAAGAAGAATATCAAAGAAGCAAGTATAAAGAGAAGAAGAAGAAATCAACAAAAAAGAATTTAAAGAAGGAGGAAGAGAAGAATAAAAGAAAACAATAGGAAGATTAGAAGGAAGATTAAAAAAAGAACATAAATATTTGAAATATTTTTGAAAAAATATTTTTCCAAAAAATTGTACATTTGTAATAATACATATAATACATAATATCGTATCGTTGAGGAGATAGGATGTTCACCTGTGCGTAGGGATATTGCTTCGTCGAGTTGTTATTAAGTACGCTAAGTGAGTAAAAGTCACTATTGGATGGAATTTAATTTCTGTTGTATCCCCTAGGACGGTCAATGACTGAGAAGGTCATTTGTGATGGATTCGATCCATGCGTCCTTGATTCTTACTTACAGCTTAACTCGTTATATTCGTATCTCTTTTTTTTTTATTTTTTTTTATATTTTCGAGAAAAGTGGACAAAAATCTTTCTTCCGATAAGAAGAGAAAGACGATTCGTTTGTCCTTTTCTAAAAAGTGAGCCGGTAGTAAGCGAGTTGCTCGAATCGAATTCGCCATTGCGATAGATTTTTTTTCGTTCAACCTAAGGTCGACTACTCCGAGTTCGATAAAATGAATTTTTCCTCAAGGACTATCGGTTTGTAAAACACCGAACCGTTCACCGGCCGATGACATTAGATTTTTTTCTTACAAGAATGCAATGAACTTTATATACCGATCGTCGTCGACTTCTCATGGACAAGCAGTACAATTTTTCTTCGCCATTTCCTTCCTCTCGTCATCGTCCATTCGTTCACCCATTATTCGATGTATCCCGTATTTTCATTCTTACTGCTTTCTTTAATTCGTCGATTTGATCGCCTATCTTCTTTCCTTTTCATCCTTTCGTCTCTTTCTCTTTCCACCATTTTTCCACGCGTTTTTACTTCGTATCCTATCTTCAACAGTTTTTGCGTATCTCTTCTCGATAAACGATAAGATTACAATTTTTTTTATACGGATATCGTAAATTGGAAATGGTGAAATTTTGAAAGAAAGGTTAATGACGCAAGATTGGCGCGGATAGATACTAGACTATTTATCTCTTTCCTCTAATTCTCGTGGTAAGCAGGTAGAACCAGGGCAACGATCGACTGGGGTCATTGGCTGGATCCAGTTATCAAGGTTAGGGTCCTTTTCTTTGCTCGCGAGAGATCATCGTTTCTCCTCGATAAATTTCTCAAGTTTGTTCACCCGAGTGTGCGAGTCACATCGTAGCACCAAGTATCGAGACTTGCCAACAACTTTTACCTTTCATTTTTAAGTTAATTTATATACCATCGGATTCGACGAGAGATATTAAATTTAAAGCCTTAAAATTCCCCGATAAAATATGATTAGGACAAATGTTATAGATTTCGAAGAAGTCGATCACCGATTCGAATCACGATAAGATTGCGTGAAAAATCAAGAATCTCTCATAAATTATCGCATTTCGACAATTTTTTCACGCTCTCTATTATTGCTTGTATCTTATACACGCTTGTATGTTTGAACAAATACATATATATATATATATA